CCGTACAGTTGGGTCAAGAGGAGAGGAAACAGGTAAAGAATTCAAAATATCAAATTTGTGTAGAAGAGCCAAGGTGAATTTCCTTTGAGAAAGAATCAGACCTTGAGGTTCACGAATTACTTCCATGCCTAGGAAGAAATGTAAGTTGCCAAGATCCTTAATTTTAAATTCCTGGTTGAGAAAAGCTTTTAAAACATGTAACACTTCACTGTTGTTTCCTGTTAATAAGATGTCGTCCACATACACTGCCACTATAGATATAGAAGATTCTTTCTTTTTGAAGAATAGAGTATAATCATTTAGAGAATGAGTGAACCCCTTGAAATTAAGAGCATTGGTGAGTCTTGCATACCATTGTCTCCAAGCCTAGCGAAGTCCATAGAGTGATTTCCTTAATTTACAGATATGATTAGGAGAAGGAGGCATAATCCCAGGTGAAAACTTCATGTACACTTCTTCACTTAGGTCGCCATGTAAAAAGGCATTATTGACATATAATTGGTAGAGTCCCCATCCCTTCTTTACTGATGTAGCTAAAATGCATCGAATGGTGGTCATTTTGACCACGGGGGAAAAGATTTCATTGTAATTTATTCCCTTTATCTGAATATCAACTGTGATGACCAACCTTGCTTTCAGTCTTTCTATACTGCCATATGATAGTTGCTTAACCTTGTAAACCCATTTGCACGGTAAAGCCTTCATCCCCGCTGGTAATGTTACCGCATCCCATGTTTTATTTAGCTCAAGTGCTTCAAATTTCTTGTCCATGGCATCCAGCCAGCCAGGGTGATGTGTTGCGTGTGCATAATTAATAGGTTCTTAGAGATTTGACAAAGTGTTGAGCATATGTTGATTAAAATAAGACAATTCATTAAAAGAGAGAGACTCAGGTGTGACTGGGGCTAGAAAGCAAGTGCCACTTATATTTGTGAGTTGGATGGCATTGCAAATATAGACTTTGAGATAGGTTGGTGCTATATGGGATCTAGAAGATCTCCTGATAAGGGTGTCCATCATAGGCTCAGATCCCAGGGAAGAAAATAGGGGAATGGATAGACTGGAATGTGAAGTAGATATAGGGGAAAGATTGTGAGAGAAAACTGGACTTTGAACAAACATTTTCCTGGGAGAAGGGAGATTAGTGGTAGAAGGAGTAATATGATTATTTTGGCTAATAGAAGGGGAGACAGAGATAGTGGGATCAGGTATATGGCTACCTGGTTTGGGAAGAGTGTCAACAGGTAAAAATGATTTATCAAAACAATTAGAATTTAAAGAAGTAAAAGGGAAAAATTCTTCATGGAATATAGCATCTTTAGAAACAAAAGTCTTCAAATGTTGAAGATTAAGTACTTTATAACCTTTCTTTCCATGTGGATATTCTAAGAAAATACAAGGCAATGCCCTAGGCTCAAATTTGGTTATGTGGTTTGAAATAGTGGAAGCAAAACATAGACAACCAAAGCACTTCAAGTTAGAATAATTAGGCTTGGTTCTGAATAATATTTCATAAGGTGTCTTTAGGTTTAATACCTTTGAAGGGAACCTGTTGATTAAATACGTGGCTGTTAAAAAATAATCTCCCCAATATGATATAGGTAAGTGTGACTGAAATACCAAGGCTCTTGAGGTTTTTAACAGATATTTGTGTTTCCTCTCCACTACACCATTTTGTTGTGGAGCGGAAACACAAGTTGTTTGATAGAGGATTCCTTGAGATTGAAAAAATTCTGACTTCACATTCCTACTTCCTAATTCAAAGGCATTATCTGATCTTATTGTTTTGACTTTTGTATGAAATTGTCTCTCTATCATAACTAGGTAGGATTTCAAAATTGTGAAGGTATTTGATTTATTGGTTAATAGGTAAGTCCAAGTACCTCTACTAAAATCATCCATAATGGTAAGAAAGTACCTATATCCATCATATGCTTCAGTATTATAGGGACCCTAAGTATCCACATGAATTAATTCAAACACTTTTTTGGTAGAGATAGAACTTGAGAAAAAAGTGCATTGCCTAGCCATTGGACATATAAGACAAGGAGTAAAAAAATTGAAACATGAAGGAACATAAATAGAGGATATGTCCTTCATATTACTTAAAGGCAAATGGCCTTATCTATAATGCCACAACTTATCCTTTACATCAGAAAAATGAATGAATGAAACAAGAATTCAAAATAGAAATAGATTTCCTACTACAAGCATTACTAGACTTAGGTAAATCCTTTGAAGCTTCTACAGAAGGCCTTGAATTGAGAATGTAGAGTCCTTCTTGTTCTTTACTAATATCCAGAGGGTCCTTCAGTGAAGGGTCCTGCAGCAGAAAATAAGAAAATGAGTGAAAAGAACATACTTATTGAGTTGTCTGTACAACTTGTGTATAGACAATAGATTAAATCTAAAAGAGGGCACATACAATACATTGTGCAGAATTAGATTATGCATGAGTGTCACTGGACCTGAATGATTTACCTTAACTTTATAAGAATTAGGAAGTTTAACCATCAATGGTTTAGGTAAGTCTTTAAAGTCTATGAAAAAATCTTTGTTAAAAGTCATATACTCAGTTGCACCACTATCCAATATCCAATATCCAAGACTCACAATTAATTTGAATGAAACATGCATAAGAGTTGAAGAACTTGGCTATACCAGCACAACTGAGGTTTGCACTTGCATCAGAACTGCTTGCTCCCTGTTGTCCTGCCTTCATATGTTGAAGAAGCTGCAGAAGTTGAGCCACACTATCCTGGATAAGAATCTGATTTTCTGCTGCATTAGCTCATGAATAGTCCACTTCTTCATTGGCAGTAAATGCATTATTATCTGCACAGTTTCTTAAAACCTCCTATGTTTAGTAAACTTAAAATCTGCTGGGAAACTATGTAACCTATAACATTTATCAATGCTATGTCCTGGTTTCTTACAATAGGCATATATTTCAGAGTTCTTCTTCTGATCATATCCTCCCTTTTGTCCTTTGTTTTCATTATACTTTCTGAAATTTCCTAATTGAGTAGGAGCAAGAAAAGATGCTGAATCTCCTGGATAGACAGGAGCAACATGAATCTCTCTCTGTTTCTCATATTGGATAACAAGAGAATATGCCCGACCAATAAAAGGCAAAGGAGAAGATAACAGGATGTTACTTCTGACCCCTATGAATGTGTCATTGAGCCCTATTAAAAATTGTAATAACCTCTCATCTTGGTGTGCCTTTACATTCTTAGCTTTAGCTCCACACTCACAATCACAAATATAAGCAAAGAAGGTGTTCAATGCATCAAGTTCATCCCATAGGCTCTTCATCTTAGTGAAATAGGTAGAGATACTGATATTACCTTGAATAACAACACTGAGTTCCTTTTGTAGTTGAAATAATTTTGCTCTATTTGTTTGCCCAAAACTATTTTCTAGATCACTCCAGAGATCCGTGGCACTTTGTGAGTACATAACACTTTTGCTATCTCCTTTGACATGGAATTCAGCAGCCATGAGAGGACCATATCATTATACCTAGCCCATATACTTTGGAGGCCAGAATCAACAGGTGGAATAGTCAGGGTTCCGTCAATGAATCCCAACTTGTTCTTTGTAGACAAAGCAATGACCACTGCCCTTCTCCATTCTCCATAGCTTTTGCCATCAAAGATTGAAGTAACCAAATTCATGCCTGGATAGTTTGAAAGATGAAGGTAGTAGGGATGTGAAGAGTCCACTACACCTGTTGTAGGAGAAACTTTAGGTGCAACAGTGGTGGTAGAAGAAGATGAAATGACAACATCAATAGGTGTTCCATTGGTACCCATTGGAGATCCGATGAAAAATTAGAAGAATGAAGGAAGATGAAAATGACTTGAGAATCAAGGAAACAACGAGCAGCTCAATCCTGCTCTGATACCATGATAGAACTGAAGAATATTTATGAAAATTTTCTTTGTATATTCATTGTGTAGTAACGTTTTGTACATTGTCCATATTTATACAAGAGAAAATGAATCTAGCCTATAACAAACTATGCCAAGTGGCACTATTCTATATGCTACTGTATAACCGATTTATTGGATAAATACATTTGGATAAAGAGTTCTAATTACAGGATGTATAATTGCTGTATTTACATTCTTCTAAAAGTGTAGGCTTTAAGAGATACTTCATCTGTAAAATGTGTATCAGCCCATCGACCCAAAACTAGTGACCCCAAATAATGCAAGGCCAAATTCTCTAATAAACTTAAGGCTGACCAATTTCTTTTCAGACATAACCTAGCCACATGAGTGTCTTATTCATGCTTTGTGCATATCACCGTGTAAAAGACAACATCTTTCTTCCTTTCTTTTATAACCATTATCATCTACACCAGCAATATTCAACCCGACCCGCCCGACCCGTCCGTTTACCACCCTACATCCAAGCATTAGTTTGCTCGTGATGAAAAACTCATTTTTGTTCTATCTCCTTTTGTCACGTAAAGCTATTCAAATTTAAAAATGAAAACCTAATTCTAACATGTGTTAGGGAACAAAATCGTGATTTAAAATCGAGAAGGATACACACAGTCTTCCCTAGCAACTTTCTCATGGCACTCGTACAAGTAGCTTTTTTTCTTTCTTTAAATAACTTTAACTTAAAAGTAGATAATAAATTACGTTAGTTTCATCAAGATAGTTCCCGGATGAAAACCTTTCGTGGCAAATGTGGAACTACACCTAGATAGTTTACGTACTTTGGTACAAAACTATCTTGTTAAGTACATTTTGATAAGTACAGCGACGTTTTCCTAAATTAGAATAATACTGCAGCAAAACGTGTAAACAAACAAACGTTGAAGCATTTTTGTATTATAAGCAAACTACAAGGGCATTTTGGTGACCAAGATCAATATATATACACACTCAGAAGTTAATTCTCCTCAATACTTCATTAAGCATCTAGCGCAACAAACTTGTGCGCTTTAACTTTCCAAATTTTTCTTTTTTCAGCCACCAGTAATGAACCTCGAGGCTATTCTTAGCCTTTTTGATTCATACTGGTTTGATGTTGAAATCCTCAAGAAACATTCAAATCCAACCCCTCCATTAAATTCACAAAAACACCCAGATCACAAAATTCAAGAAAATTCACCAGAAACTTTAAATGAGTACTCATCTTTGTTAGAAATTCAACTTGGTTCACAAAGTGATGATTTGAGCTATAATTCAGATTCTTTCTCTCCTGATTCAGTTCTTCCAACAACCCATTTCACACCTTTTTGTAATAAGGCAGAATTAAAGAAAGTAAAAGGTAGAAGAAGGGAAAGGAGAAGAAGAACAAGAAGAACCAAAAAGGGTCTCAGCAAAAGTTTATCGGAGCTAGAATATGAAGAGCTAAAGGGGTTTATGGATCTTGGATTTGAATTCTCAGAAGAAGATGTAAATTCCAGTTTGGTTGAGGTTATACCAGGTTTACAAAAACTGGGCAAAAACAGGGATAGTGGTGATCAAGTAAAAGTGAATTGTTTTGAGAAATCTGAGTCAAGAGCCAGGCCTTATCTTTCTGAGGCATGGGAAATTCTTGAAAAGAAGAATAGAATGAGCACATTGATGAATTGGAAAATACCTGCCACCAGCAATGAAATTGACGTCAAACGGAGTCTCAAAAGGTGGGCTCATACTGTTGCTTCCACAGTAAAAGCCTAAAGTTCAAATCTTTGTGAACTTTCTCACTTTTTTCCTACTATAAAATGTATAAGAAAAGTTAGTTAGCCTGTTAAAGTTCCATTTTTTCTGCTTCTTGACTCACATTGTTGAGAGTTGCAGTATGTATATAATCTAAGAGCAGGGCAAACTCTCTTCAGAGGCCAAAAAAAAAAAATAGGTTCTTTGGTTGTGAGTTTTGGAATTTCTAATGGAGATATTCGATTGAAGTTTAAATTTTGTTTAACTTGAATATCAGTATTTGCCAAGATTGGCACAAAAATGCTATTGAAATAAACAGAGTTAGTGCAGAGCGAACGGTTTGTTTAACTCCAATTTCTTCCTCCTTTTTGTTCTTTCTGAATACCAATTCTATTGGCTTATGCTACATGTGCGACATTGTGAAGTCCAAATAAAATTGAAAAGTCAGCCATGATTGTACCTCTTTACACCATTGTTTACTATCTAAAAATATATGCGGATTACGTCTTTTTGTATTTTGGTGTCGTTTCTGATTGGAGGACTAGAGTTTGAGGAAGACATGTCAAATATACTTAATGGATGACCATGATCGTGGGGTTAACATTGAAGAAAGTTGTTAAAAATGTAATCTCCCTAGTTCCTATTTTCAGTTCTATAGGGGAAAATAGAGGCATTTATGAAGTTCATGCTAATATTTATCGTACAAAAGCAACAAGAAAGTTCAGGAGTTAGTGACATGAAAACTTAAGTTAGACGATGAAACTCGTTCGTTAATAGGTTGCCTCTAACTCCAATCAGTAAGAATAAACAGAGAACCACTGAAACTTCCGAGGCAGGAAAAACTCAAATTAAGGTAATACACGTTTCATTTCCCCTCTAATTCTAGCACATTTATTATTTAAATATGTTATATATATATATATATATATATATATATCACAAATAAATATTGCGTCACATAAAATGTGTCTAATTTGTAGTATATCACAAGTCGCCCATATCCAAGGTTATTGTAAGTCCATTTTTCCTATCATCCAATTTGAATTTATTACAGTGAACTTCTCTTTATCGGAGTCGTTGATAAAACTTTATTCCTTATGCATATAACATTAATAAGTGCATAATATATATATTTTTTGGGTAAGATTATTACTTAATCATAGTTAGAATATTATTTTAATCTAATATTATTGCTTAAATCTTAAAATATTTACATAATTTGTTGCATATATTAGTGCAATAAATATTTTCTCCTGACAAATTAACAATACGACATCGTCTGAACCC